CTGAGAATTGAAAAATTTGCTGGGCTTTTGTACCTTATGTACTGGCTTGTTATTATATTTGTACATGTTTTATTTAAATGTGTACATGCCCTTCAGTTCTATAATTTTAAGAGGCACTGATGTTCCACTTTGTGTTCTGCTTGACTGCTTTATCTGCTTAAAAAAAACAAACAAAAAAAACCTAACAAAACTAGTCCCACTTGGGGCCAAATCCTCTTCCAACAGTACTCAGTGGGAGCGGTCAGCTATCTGGAATGAGTCCATAGGGAACATATACAAGCTCAGAAATTTTCAATGTATGATCTCTTAAGATGTGAGGAACATCTCAGCCCCAATGACTAAAAGCAGAGATTATTTATGTCAAACCAAGAAAGTAATAAAAATTACCTTCTACAAAAGGGAAAAAAAAGTATACCTTTTTACATGAGATTCAAATATAAACTAATATCAGGGTTTAAAAAAAAAAAAAAAAAAAACCCCACCACACACCTCATACCAGGTTACTCATACAATCAGTTAAGCATTAACCCCTGAAGAACAAGAATCCTACTTTTGTACAGATTTATACAGTTTCTGTAGGAGCCATCCACTGGCCCAGCTATATTAAAATGCTTGTGTTCTGCATTAAAAGTTAAGCATCTGCCATTCCAGGAACTATATGCACGATAAAGATAAAGATATATAACCATAACAATAATGGTAGAGGCTATTACCCAGATTTTAGAACTTCAAATTGCACACGGCTAGAAATCAGTAAGTTTTGCTCCATTTAGGAAATGAAAAGGAAAAAAAGATGAGTTTTTCCAATCAATTTTCTAAAATCTTTCATTACATTTTTTTATTTTGAAGTGGGGCAGGAATGGCAGACGAGAATTTTTAGAAGTTGAGAACTTCTCCAGGTTTCCCCCAGCCACTCCTATAAATTGTTTCTCTTTTTCCCGCTCTCATTATCACTCTCAGCAATGTACCAGTCACAGAAAAATCTCAATCCCTCTTCAGTTACGTAGCCAATGAAAGATGTTCTTGCATAATACAGCAAATTCCAATACAGCCAATGGACTTCCCCAATAGGTCTTCTATATTTGGTGTTTTGCAGTCAATCACCTCTGCTCTCCACTCTCATACTTAAAATAATACCATAAATGCATATGTTGTTTGTGGCAGAGATACTGCTTCTTTGGCTTATTAACCCTCTGAAATTAACAAACTGATTTTATACCCTCAAAGCTATTTACTTTCTATATTAAAATCTCATGTTATGCCAAGCTTTGAGATATTCCTTCTTACCTTTCTCTGACTGATTTTCCACATATAAAACACACCCATTTTCTCTTCCCCCCATGAGTACATTCTATATGGCGTTTTAGATTTCTAGTGTCATTGAACTGACGACCACAAATATCACACGGGAAAGGACCTGAAAGAAAATAACCAGAACTGCTATTAGTTGTAAGTAATTACATTAAGTCACAAACAGATGTATATTTTGGGTCACTGATGCATGCCTTAATCAAGCTACAAGACAAAAAGGCTAGTTTAATGAATTATTATTATAACATGCCTCACATTTTTCAGTATGTAAAATGTAAGTATTTGAGTACTTTTTGCTATTTATGAGTCAACAATTAAATTTAAGTTTGATAATCTAATGCTCTGAACTCGTGTACAACTACCATAAAAACATAACAATTTAGTACTAATAATATACAACCATGATGTGAATCCACCTGGATTCTTCTAAAACTATTCTAGTTGACAAGAAGGGGTGAATATCAACAAAGGGAAAATTACTTTTTGTAGTGCCAACGAGGCCAATTCAATCAAAGTGGATATTGATATTCACCCCTTCCTGTAAACTGTTGGGAATGGGCTACATCCACCCTAATTGAATTGGCCTCATTAGCACTGAGCCCCCCCCCCACTTGGTAAGGCAACTCCCGTACTGTATATTTATACCTGCTTACTGTATTTTCCACTCCATGCATCGGATGAAGTGGGTTATATCCCACGAAAGCTTATGCACAAATTGGTTAGTCTCTAAGGTTCCACAAGGACTCGTTTTTACTGATACAGACTAAGACGGCTATCACTCTAAAACCTCATATCTCAGTAGCTATGGTATCAGAAAATTAGTACAAGAGACTGAACAGTTCATAATAATTTGAATATCTTTAGAAGTTTATACTAATCTTATATCTTTGGATTTTGTTTTATTAAAGTTTCCAGACTCACGGGCTATTTCTCCCTCCTAGAATTATTTATTATTTGTATAACAGTGTTGCCTATCATAAAGTGAACTTGCAAGACACGTACTTTGTAGGTGATTAACATACCTACACCTTTAATCATAACCAGAATTTCCCAGTCAGCTAGTCCAACACTGGATTTTGTACACAGTACAGTTATTTGGATGCATATTTTTAAAAAATATCATTGCAGTTTAATAAAAAATCAAAAATTAGTATCAAGCTTTTTTTAAAAACTTTCAAAAGCTTTTAAGAAATCTAATAAAATAAAATATTTAACAAGAGCAAAGGAAAAAAAAAAATCAAACTCTGCACCCATTGGAGGAAGACTGTTTTACTTCAAATCTATTGTTTGCATGTCAGAAGGAGGTTTTTATACCAAGATGGAATTTTTCTTGATGCTTCAATCTTGCAAACCGGGATTTAAAGTGCTCTTCACAATAGGTACACTTGAAAGGTTTATCCTGAGTGTGAAGAATCATGTGTTCTTCCAAATGGGGTCTTCGAGCAAAAGATTTCTTACAAATCTAAAATGACAAAATACTTGGTCAAACATTAGCTAGAGACAAACTCAGGTATGTTTCTATAGCCTCTTTAAAAAAAAAAAGAAAAGAAAAAGTGTGGGGAGTGGGGGGAGAGAAATCACACAGCCAAAACTTTCATACTAAATTGTTACTTTATTGATACCCAGTTTCTTGGGGAAACCTAGAAAAGGCATCTATGGCTTTATATCTAAAGCTAGATTTGGGAGGTCTGCACAATACTTTTAGAGTAATTAAAGCCTATACTGGTATCTGATTATTGTTCAATTGGTATCAGCATACAGCCAAATGAGAAAGTATTGGGGGCGGGGGGGAGGAAACTTTGCCCATATTACGTTACTTTCTTTGTCTTCCCCCGCAGGAGCACCTCCAAGAATATACATTATAGGCAGCGTATGGAGTGTATGATTATGATCAAAGAAATCAGAAGTGTACTGCCATTATTTCTTGTCCTGCCTTCAGTGGACATGGAGAAATTTTGATCACCATCCTCTTTATAACAGCCTTTTAACATATTTGAATACTTAACTGGTCCCCCTCAGTCTGCTTTTCTCAAAACTAAAAATGCCTATTTAAAAAAAAAAAATCTTTCTTCATAGAGCAGGTTTTCTAAATCTTATCATTTTTGTTGCTCTCTCTGAACTCTCTCCAATTTGTCTACATCTTTCTTTAAGTATGGTGCCCAGAACTGCACACCACATTCCAGCTGAGGCCTCACCAATGCCAAGTACAGCAGGACAATTTCCTCCCATGTCTTACATATGACATTCCTGTTAAGACTCTCCAGAAAGATAGTAGCCTTTTTAGAAACTGCATCACATTCTTGACTCTCATTCAACTTGTGATCCACTCTAAACTCTAGGTCCTTTTCAGCAGTACTACTACCTATCCAATTATTCCCCATTTTGCAGTTGTGCATTTGATTTTTCCTTCCTACATGTAGTACTTTGCACTTGTCTTTATTGAATTGCATCTTGTAGATTTCAGATCAATGCTCCAATTTCTCAAGGTCATTTTGAATTTTAATTCTTGCAACTCCTCCCAGCCTGGTGTCATGTGCAAATCTTATAAGCACACTCTCCACTCCATTGCCCAAGTAATTAATGAAAATATTTAATAGTACCAGACCCAAGACTGATCCATGCAGGACCTGACTAGATATACATTCTCCCAGTTTGACAGACAACCACTGCTAACTATTCTGAGTGTAGTCTTTCAACCAATTTTGTATCCACCTTATAGTAACTTAATCTACATCACATTTCCCTAGTTTGTGTATGAGAACATCAGTTGGAACGGTGTCAAAACCTTTACTAAAAATCAAGATACATCATGTCTACAGCTTTCTTCCTATCCACTAGGCCAGTAATCATGTCAAAGAAGGTAATTAGGTTGGTTTGGCATGATTTATTCTTGACAAATCCATGCTGGCTATTCCTTGTGACCCTATTATCCTCTAGGTATTTGCAAACTGGGCTAATAATTCCTTCCAGGATCTTTCCAGGAATAGAAGTTAAGCTGACCGGTCTATAACTTCCCAGTGTCCACTTTGTTCCCATTTTTAAACATAAGATATTCCACTAGTTTCTCAGTATTGGCTTTATTTTTGTGTTTTTGCTAGTAATACTCAACTCCTATTTAATGTGAAATATATGCAAACATACCTATTTTAATGGCCACAGATATTTTGTAAAATGAAATCTGGTACTTTCTATACAGCCAGTCTTATGCACACACTAACATACAGTATTTAATAATATCAACCTGATCAACACAAATATTAACTTTCACTATGGCTTACACAGCTTATTGAGACTTGATGGTGAATAGTGCAATGAAAATAAAACACTCATTAAATCATTAAACCAAGTAATTTCTGTATAAAAAATTATAAAAAAAACCCAGTAGAAAAAAACCTCTCAAGTTGTTTGATTTCTTGGTACAATCAAACTAATGCTTACATCACATTTCCAGCCTTCACTCTTTGTCTTTTTAATGGAAAGAAATTCTTGTACGTTCTCTGGATGAAACCTAGGAGGAAAGATCAGTGAAAATGAGTAATGTTAGCTATAAATTTCTTAACTGCTATGTTATTTATATTAACGCACGCTAGTTAGCATAGCAAGCAGTACCAGCGTGCAGCTCTCATCATTTCCAAATCTACTTATCTCCACATTTGACATAACAGAAACTTTGTACAAATATGAAGTATATGAAATATTTATTGCTTGATATAACAGATTCTGAAGTTATATGCATTCAACCACATAAGTTAAGATCAGGTCAATATAGGTATAACTTCAAATATATTTATATCTGCCCAAAACCAGACTAGGAATACAATTTACAGATGGCCCTGGACAGCTCTAATGTAGATGTTAAACCCAGTTTACATTCTACCCACTTCCTTTTCAAATAAATACCGACTGCTAACATTACCATTTGTATCTAAATTGAAGTTCACCCAGCTTAAGCTGATGCAGGCCTCAAATCTGGCTGTATAGCATGAAAGCCAGTCAAACATTACCATTCCAATCCAATGAACTGACAAAGCTGTCATCAGCAGGCTGATGACACTGGAATCCTGAAAGCATAGCATATTAAAAAAAAAAAAAAAGGACTAAGGAATCTTGCAATACCTCATGCTAGTCCATAGGCCAGATCATTTGTATTACACCACTCTAGAGGTCCTCTTAAAAAGAACAGAGCCACTAAATGAATATATCCCTTCTGGGGTCTACAGGAAAATAAAAATACTTCACTGTTAACTGAATTAAGTGTATCTGATAGATCTAAGACTCTGCATGGACATTTGATTTTCTTCATTCACCAGGAGGATCTCTCATTGCCACCAAAACCAGTGCTGTCCCTGCATCAAGCCCAATCTAACAACAAACTGAAAGGGATCAAGGAAACAGGAGGATTCTGGGTATTATCAGATTTGACTTGCTGGAAAAAACTCACAATCTTACCTAAAAAAGGGTGATAATTACTGAGAGCATCAACTTTAATAAGTAGCTTTCTTGAGCTAGTTGAAATTTATAATAGAAAGCTATGGTGACACTATCACTTCACAGTACCCTAATTTTTCCATTTTCAAAGTGCCGTACAAACTTTGACTAACTTATCCTTATACCACCTTATATGGAAGGTGACTTACTGCTGTTAATTCTTATGTCCTGTTAAAAGAGGTGCAATTTTAAAAACAATTCTAGAAAGAAACCAAAAGTTAAATAGTTTTCCAATGTTTTTTGTTTTTAATCTACCACAGCTTTGGGGCTGGAAAATGCAGTATGCAGAAGTGTAACAGACAATCCCGCTCATACTTACCTCTTTGCATGTTTTGCTAGGGTCTTTTTGCTTGCATGAAGTTTATTACAATATGGACATTTGTGCTCCTTCTTATGAAATTCTGTTTCATTATTGTGTTTCTTTCTGTGAACTGTCAGGTTAGATTTTGTGGAATAGCGCTGATGACAAATATCACACTCGAAGGGCTTCTCACCTGTGTGCGCACGGGTATGGATCTCGAGCTTCCCTAAAAAATAAAATCTTAGTTTAATGTAGAACAATCAGCTACAGTCTGCTTAAAGACACATACTGACTGGCAAACTAACTTACATTCTTTATCATCTTCAGTACATTTCTATTTTTGTTAGAATCTCCACTCAGTGTTTTGAAGCCTAAAACAATACGGGGCCTTACACAGTTCTGATTCACAGCACACAGACCAGGGTGTCCTTGTATATTACATGCACTAAATGCTTTCAGCCAACTCTCCAGAGGTCTAGGCATATTCCACATACATACGAACAATTATTTTACTGAGTTTCACTGGGTAGCTTATAGGGATTGTATAGATAAATCAAATACAGGTTCCCAAAATACTTTAATCTTCACTATTTTTAAAATGTGTTTTATATTTACTCCACGTATGCTGTTACCACATCCTGTATACATGAGCCTACATATTGATCTCCATAAAGCACTATCTATCCTAGACTAATGAGAGTTGCATTACCTTTTCTTTTTCAAATAACCCAGTTCACAAAGTACCTCTTTCAAAATAGGGAGCAATTTGGAAACTTAAAAACAGAGCGTCATGTCATTTATTTTGGTATAATCAAAGACTAAGAAAAATAGAGACACTCATACTTCATCCATGATTGGGTCCCAAGGCATTACAACAATACTAAAATAATAATCTCTCCTCCATTCCTTTTACACTGATTTTCATTCTCATTCATGACTTGGCTAAAATTGGACCCCAATCCTGCAATATGGGTCCGCACTTGTGGAATCAACTGCAGGGCCTTGGACTGGAAGGGGGTTATTTCTCTGTCAGAACACCTAGACACTACTTTTTGGACACTATTAACAAAGAAAGAAGTGTATTGTGGTTCTTAAAATGACCAATGGAAGAAAGATTTTTATTCCTCCTTCCACTCCTCCATCCCCCTTTTAAAACACAAAAGTTTTGGGGCTCTAAAATACAAGAGTGCAAAGAGAAAAAGAGTTTGACTTTGTGCTATCACTCAAAATACTTCATTAAAAAAAATGAAACAAAAAACGAAAAACTTCAGACTATTAGGCTCTGTAGCCTGGACTTTCAGTATCAAAAAAACCCAACAGCAACTGTTATCAAATTCAGAGAATTTTCCACAAGTTTTTATTTTAAAAGAGAGAGATCTCACCTTTTTTTAAAATGTTGAATAGTTATTATTATATAATCTGTGACCTTGGACAACTCATTTCACCTCTGCCTCAGTATCCCCATCTGTAAAATGTGGATAATAATACTTACCAGGTTGTTGTTAGGATCAACTAGTTAATGCTTGTAAAGTGCTTTGAAGATGAAGAGCACTATATAAAAGCTATCAAGTATCTAGCTAATAAAGTTTTGCTACAAGAAAGGTCTGAAACCAAAATGGTTTCCTGCCTTAATGATTAAATTCAAATACCATCAGAGCAAGCTTGCTCATTTCACTATAATATGTCTAAACACATAAGTCGGCTTTTCTTTTCCATATAATGACTATAAACTCTCAGATCTCAGGATGATAAAAATTTACAGTGGTATTAAAAAGGGCCTGATCTCATGAGATGCTGCTCTCATAACTCCCGTGACTTCAACAATCAGCTGAGGAGACTCAGCACCTCATAATCGAAGCTTAGAAATACATTAGCTATCCCAGCTGAAATCAAAAATATCCATGGAGACGGAAAAACTCAGAGCTAAATCCATGGGGTCAATAGGACTGCTTATGTGAATAAGGCAGGCATGATTTGACCCTCAGTTTAGAACAGGGGAAGGCAACCAATGGCACACGTGCCAAAGGCGGCACACGAGCTGATTTTCAGTGGCACTCACACTGCCCGGGTCCTGGCCATCGGTCCAGGGGGCTCTGCATTTTAATTTAATTTTGAATGAAGCTTCTTAAACATTTTAAAAACCTTATTTACTTTACATACAACAATAGTTTAGTTATATATTATACACTTATAGAAAGAGACCTTCTAAAAAAACGTTAAAATGTATTACTGGCACGCGAAACCTTAAAATAGAGTGAATAAATGAAGACTCGGCACACCACTTCTGAAAGTTTGCCGACCCCTGGTTTAGAAAGATAGTGGGAAGCTTTGGGTACAGACTGAAGTGCTGTCTTGATACCCGGAGGAACATTTATCACACCTAAACCAGAACATAACATGTGATTAAAAGACTTTAACCTGGCTCTGTAAAAGCAGGGTTATTTTATCCCACACCTAAAATTTCAGCCAGCACGTCCCTCAACAAGTGGTATAAAATTAAATTTGACAAAATCTCAATGGATCATGTCTTGTAAGTAAAAATGCAATTAAGTAACCACCATTACTAGTGAACCACACAAGAAAAATTCTGCCTTCAGATCTCAACAAAATTTAAAATTTACTAATGGCAAGACCACTTAATATTGCAATCAGACCTAGTTTAAATCTAGAGGTGAGAGTTTAGTGTTATTCTATTTGACATGTCAAAACATCTTATAAAATTAGTTACTATATTTGTACAAGCACACCAGGCTCATTTTGAAACAGGCCTCATCTATACTGCTTATGAATTACAACTGTACATGCAAGTGTTTTCATCATCAGGGAGTCACATGCTGGGGAAACAGTGTTTCTATCATAAGAAATAATTGCTTATGTAGCATTTATATACTATAGCTCCAACAGAAAAGTCAGCTACCTTACTTAATCAGTTAAAGTTGGACAGTTTGGTGGAAAGTCAAGCCCATGTTTCAGATTTCTTACAATTTACCTTCCATTCTACTAATAAGTTACTGCACTCTATCTTCAAGCCTGTTTCATATACTAAGAATTAGGAACATGACTGCGGGAAAGAGAGATTTGTCATTTGCAGGATTTTAAAAAAAATAGCACTCTTATTAATTCATTTCCTAATTTTAGTGCTACAGTAATGATAATTTCTGATTTTCAAGATCTATAAGGACTGGCACTCCATACTAAATTTTAGCAAACAGACAAACACTAATTCTCTATAAACATAAAAGTCAGAAAGAACTCAGTTTATTTTCCACCTGAAAGTACCACCATGTGGTAAAGAGGAAGGAGACAAAACTTTAATTGCTCTTACCTGTTCGATCAAATGTTTTGTCACACTTGGGACACTGCAATAGTTTTTTGCTACTACTCTGAATGATTACTGGAGTTAAACCTTCAGGAATATTTCCTACTGAATCAACTGGCTCAGGACTCACTTCAGTATCATTACGTTCTTTTTTACTTTGCTCTTCAGCATCAGAATCTTCATCTGGTATTTCTTCTTCTTCCTGACCCTCTTCATCTGCATTGCAGTCACTTCCACTATCTTCACATTCATTTTTAACAGATATTTCTCTCTCAGAATGGACTTTTTCCTTGTTGTCAGACACATCGCTGCTTTCGTTATCACTGTTATCAAACTTAGCTGGGCATTTACGGTTCCTTGTAGATCTTCTGGTAGAAAAGTCTGCTTTCTCAACCATTTTTAAACCATGTTTTTTTTCCAGTGGAAGGGACCTGTGAGCTTTAGCCAAGTGGTTTTCTAGGGATTTCTTGTAACAGAAGTTTCGACTGCAAAAAGTGCATTGGTGACTATTTGATAGTTTACCAGTCAATTCATTGAGAGTTTCAGCTGGTATTGGGTTTTCAGTTACCGCTTCAGTTTGTATGCAGGAAATATTTTCATTATTGAGCAGTTTGACTGCATCTATAATGTCTAAAAATTTAGCTGCTTCCAACACTAAAGGGATTTCATTTTTATATACAAAAAACTCAGATGTGTACAAAAACTCAAGCAAATGTTGAAAAACAGAATGAGTTACATGATCCAGTGTGACAACATCCGTGCTTGGGTTTTTGCTCAAACAAGCATGAAAATAACTACTGCCAACAGCTACAACAACTTTGTGTGCATTAAATTCTTTTCCTTCTACTATTATAAGTAAGTCACAAAAAGATGGTTGTTTCTGTCTATCATCATTTAAATATTTAAGTAGATTTTTATTATACTGCAGTGAACTTAAGAGTTTTCTTTGTTCTGGTGATGGAGGAAGTTCTTGGGAACACTCAAGTTGGTCCGCAATAGCTACTTCTGCAGATTTGGTGACAGTTTCTTGGTCAGAATCTACTATAAGAACCCCATCAGAAATATTTTTCTCATGGCCAAGATGTAGCTTCTCATTTAAATTTCCAGGGAACTTTCTCCTTTTCTTCATTTCAATAGTGCAGCTTTAATATCAGAAACTTCATAAGCAGCTAAAAAGATTTATGGTGAAGCCTTAACGCAGTTCTGAATTTTTTTAAACAGATTGATCAGAATATTTTCATAATCTGTAAAAGAATATTAATAATTACACTTGGGACACAACAGTATGTCATTTACTTACTAACACTATATACAATTTCTACTTACTTTTAATTGGTTTGCATACTTTAAGCATTTACTAAATTATTAAAACCTAGTCTCTTCCCATTCTAGCCTATCATGTAACATTGCTATGCACTGATAAATGAAATAATATCTATTTATTAGGCAGCTGAAGAGTGTGCTCCTATAGTTTGTGAAATGCTCTGAGACAGATGCAAGATATCATTCTTAAACAGATTTGCTTTGATCTTTGCAGCATCGTTTCAGAACCAGAACAAAATTAAAACGAAAACCCAGCATCATTAACATTAAATATTGTCCTTATTAACTGTGCACTTTTCACACTGATGTTGGCTGGGTGACACTCGCTGAACTCGAGGCGGGTGCATTCACGTTGAGGCCAACCAATCAGATATTCTGTGCTCGATACGGCATTCTCCTATTGACATCCGGACTGGGGAGGTTTGTGCTCCTGCAGAACAGCAGCGTGATACTTCCTGTGCGGCTTGGCGAAGAGATTTCGGGTGGCAGGTTTATTTTGCCTCCAACTGTCAAATCCCCAGCCCCGCACGTCCCAACTTCAGCTGAGGATGCGGGGAGCAACCTCGTGCGTTTGAGAGTCTTTGTCTCCCCTCCCCAGAGACAGGCTGGGGTCACTGCCGCACGGTCCCCAAGGACAGAGGGGGAGAGGGGCCCTCCACCTCACCCCCAGGCAGCCGAACAGTCCCTCGGCCCCAGGGTAGGGACGGGAGCGCCCTTCCCCCCAGCTCCGGGGCCTGCGGGGGGTCCCCGATTCCCCCTGCCTCGGAACAGGAGCAGAGCCCCAACCCCACGGAACCGCGTCTCGGGCCCCAGCGGGCTGTGGGGCTCACCCGCCCCTCCACACAGGGCGACGTTCCAGCTACGGGGGGCGTAAAGCGCTCGCCTCGCCCCACTGGCTCCGCCTGCCAGTCGCAGAGGCGCCGCTCAGCAGCGGATGCAGCGGCACACACCTGCCCCGGGCCGGCGCTCCCCCGCCGCTGCCTGTCAGCCGCTAAACTCCGCCGCTGCGCTCGCAGAGAGCCACCTCCCCCTCCATTTCCGGGTTCCGGCGCCCCTGTGTCAGACGCAGCCTCGCTCTGAGAAGGAACCCCTCGACGTCCGGGAGGCGGGGCTAGCTCTGGGAGCGAGAGCGGCTCTTGTACGTCACTGCGTGGCTGGAGGACGTGGTGTCTTGTGTGCGCTGCCCAGCCAGCCCCGTGGAGGAGAGCCCCGCCCAGGAAGCGGGGCGGGGCGGGGCCAGTCTGTCAAACTGCCCTATGGTAGGCCGCGCCCAGGCTCCCTAGCAGCTATAGGCTGTGGGCTCGGTCACGCTCCGGGGCAGGCTGGGCCCAAACAGGGAGAAGGGCGCAAGGATCTTCCTCCCTTGCCCCGTGGGCCCCTGCAAGGCATCGTGTGAGCGCCGCGGCCTGGGACAGCAGAGAGCAGGGGCAGCTGGAGGCACTCGCGCAGCAAAGTGGGCAAGGACAGGCTGGGGCCGCAGCTCTCTCCCATCTCCACCCCACCCGTTAGCGTGCTGCGTGTCCGTGGGAGCAAATGTTACACTTGCCAAAGGGCGTCACTGGGCTCATGCCCCACGTGTACTCCCGGGCGCAGCAATTCTCTCTCCAGCACAATAACTACTACAGAAGCAGAGCTATATCGTTCCCGACATGACCGTTGGCTGTCCAGATACAATCTAGAAATTACACATGCAGTACCACTAAAACGCAACCAGTAGGAGGATGGAAGGGTACCCCACTGGTTCCAGTGAGCGGATGAGTGGCAACAACTGGCACATAACGACAGAAGGAGCAGTGCTTAATTTGCAGCAGAGCTGAGCCCCAGCTCCTCTAGGCTTGGCAGTTCATAGTCTACTCTGTGCCTTGCATCAGTTATGAATGTAAAAAAATTGCTTGAGCCCAGGCCACCTAATTGCTTGAGCCCCATCACAACTTTCATTACAAATTAAGCACTGAAAAAATAAAAGCTATGATACACAATTACAGATCATGTGACTGCCAACTTTGGCGAAGCAGGGACAGATTGAAGTATGGTTTCAATGCAAAAAAATATTACTAAAGGAGAGTCCTGTGAAAACTTGACATCTGTGAATAAAGTAAACATGGCTATTTCAAGTTGTGCTATGTATATGGGCACATTCCACACTGCATTACATGCATATGGAGCGCCCACTGATTTACACAAGTCATACACATGCATCCAAAAGATAGACTGTGACCCATAGTTTGGAAAGGCTGTATAAGTGCAAAGTTGTATTGTCCTTAGCACAGCTGTCCAGAAAAAAAAAGTTGAGAAAGTTCTTGCTGACAAAGTAAAATATCTTTCAGTAATAATAATACTTTGCCCTTACGGTGCTTTCCACTTGAGAGTTTAAAAACACTTTACAAAAAGTATTTATGAAATTGCAAAAAAGAAGCAAAAAACCACAGCTGTCAGAGATCCATAAGGCATGTATCCACTTGGGGGTGCAATTTATCAACATATCAAGGGGCTTCTATAGTTCTGTTAATTGTCATTTCACCATTCCACAAAGAACTGGTTCTTGGTGACAATATGATCTAAAATACTAATGAAAGCTGCAAATAAATACGTACTGTTACACGAATGGACATTTGGGCTTTATTCCACAGGATCCTTGCTCTGTAATTACGGATGTGATTTGTAAATGATATCTTTAGTGACTTCTGTTGCTCATAGTTAGCAATAGGTGTTTTTCAGGAATTATTACTGAAAAAAGGTAGGCTAATGCATTGTATTCATCTCGGCTCTCTACGAGCTGAGGGGTGAAAACATTATCCTCTCATTAACCATTATGCTATTTTTATTGTCTATTTGTACTTTCATATTTTAAACCCATCTATTTATAATGATTGAATTCTCCTGCTCTTTTATATTTGGTTCTATTTTAGTTTTGCATTTGATTAATATTGCATGAAATAAGATTATATTTTTAAAATTCAGGGCTAAATTTTCAAATAATACTTGAAATATGTCTCAACTCTTTCCTTCCATTTTTATTGTTGGTCTAAAAATGTAATAATGGCATCATTAAATAACAATCCAGCAATCAGTAGTCATTGTGGTTTTGCTTGTGCAAAAGGTAAAAATCTAATTTTCTTTGTATGCCATGTTGATGTAGCCGTGTCAGTCCCAAGATATTGGAGAGACAAGGTGGGTGAGGTAATATCTTTTATTGGACCAACTTCTGTTGGTGAGAGATACAAGCTTTCAAGTCATACAGAGTTCTCTTCAGGTCTGGGAAAGCTACTAAGGGCATGTCCACACATACAGCGCTGCAGCAGCACAGCTGCCCCAATGCAGCTGTGCCACTGCAGCACGTCTGGTGCCATCGGCATAATAAAATCACCTCCGCGAGCAACAGAAGCTATGTCAGCGGGAGAAGCTCTTCCACTGACATAGCGCTGTCCACACCGGGGCTTATGTCGTGTAACTTATGTCGCTCAGGGGGGTAGTTTATTCACACCCTTGAGCAACATAAATTATGCTGACATAAACTGTAAGTGCAGACACACCTTAGATTGGCACAGCTAAATATAAGTTTGAACAGATAGTTTAGCATAAGTAGTTAGCACATATTTTAAGGGACCATTGAAAGTGAAGTCCTTTAACACCCCTGCAGTGATAGGATAAAAAGGGGGATTAGTGGGTAACAGATTGTTGTAATAAGCTATAAATCTAGTGTCTCTGTTCAGTCCATGATTTTTAGTGTCTAGTAAAGTTATGAATTTAAGCTCCCAGGCTTGTTTTTTGAAAGTGTTGTGCAGGTTTCCTTTGGGGAGGACGACTGATAGGTCAGGTATAGAGTGATCGCTTTGTGAAAAGTGTTCACCCACACATGATAGGGTGTTTTTGTCTTTTATCATTTTCCTATGGGAGTTCATTCGAGAGCATAGTGCTTGTCTGGTTTCACCCACATTGTTTTTATTGGGGCAGTTAGTGCATTGGATGAGGTGATCGAAGAGTCCTATACATGCTTATCACAACATGTAGTGGATTTCATGTTTATTAGGTCTCACTCTTCCATATCAAATTTGCTCAATTTAAAAGTAATAAGATTGGATGTGGGTAACCCCCAGGCAGTACAGGCTGCCAGCAGGGAGAAAGTACTAGGAAATCCCTTTGTAGAAGTGGCCTGGCACCATCACGGTTCTCTTCTTCTCTGGTGGGATCCATGGGGCTTGCAAATTACAACTACTACCGCCTCTAGAGACCATAATTTCACAAGCCAGTCCCTTATGTGGGTAAAGGGAAACTCAGCATGCTTAAACTTGGAGTATTCTGCTGAGTATTTATGTTCCGCCAGACTTCAGTTGGGACGGTGTATGTGTCCCTTTGATTTCATTTAAGGAGCAATACTTAGTATTATCTCCCTCCCTCAGCCCTACTGGTGTTTTTTATTCTCTATTGAACAAGCCGGATAGCTACTGGAGGTCTTTAACATTATGATTGCAGTTTCAGAAAAATCTTTTTATTGGTTTGGATTTTCTCAGGCAGCTACTATTCTCATTGAGATGTATTTAACTGAAAAAAAAACAGTCCAAACAGAAGTAATGTGCATTCTGGGCAGAATTCAATACTAATGTCGAAATTATCCCCTCAAAATAGACACATCTTTCATTGATAGCAATAGGAGTTGCATCTCGGGATGGATTTTGGCCCAAAGCAATGATTTTCTCCCCTCCCCCACAAACAGATGAATTAAAACGCCTGCTTATCTCCTCCTTTTCTTCATTATTACTGCTAATATTATTTGTTAGTTGAACACTAATAGCTGTGAAAACCAGAGACAAAACCATGGTTCTTGCCCCGAGTTGCTTACAGTATAAAATTTAGCAGACAGGACTGTCTTCCTCTTGGCGAGACTT